AGGTCAGAGGAGAATGGGCCGACTGATTCAAGCTGATAGAAGAGGAACTTTGACTGAAATAACCACTCGTTACAACCGAGGTATGCAGCAAAGCATTTGTGAAGTCACGACACGCACAACCTTGAGGCGGATAGGCTAAAACAGCAGAAGACCCCACCGGGTACCACTCATCTCCACTACAAATAGGAAAAAGAGGCTACAATTTGCAAGAGCTCACCAAAATTGGACAGTTGAAGACTGGAAAAATGTTGCCTGGTCTGATGAGTCTCGATTTCTGTTGAGACATTCAGATGGTAGAGTCAGAATTTGGCGTAAACCGAATGAGAACATGGATCCATCATGCCTTGTTACCACTGTGCAGGCTGGTGGTGGTGGTGTAATGGTGTGGGGGATGTTTTCTTGGCACACTTTAGGCCCCTTAGTGCCAATTGGGCATCGTTTAAATGCCACGGGCTACCTGAGCATTGTTTCTGACCATGTCCATCCCTTTATGGCCACCATGTACCCATCCTCTGATGGCTACTTCCAGCAGGATAATGCACCATTTCACAAAGCTCGAATCATTTCAAATTGGTTTCTTGGAAATGACAATGAGTTCACTGTACTAAAATGGCCCCCACAGTCACCAGATCTCAACCCAATAGAGCATCTTTGGGATGTGGTGGAACGGGAGCTTCGTGCCCTGGATGTGCATCCCACAAATCTCCATCATCTGCAAGATGCTATCCTATCAATATGGGCCAACATTTCTAAAGAATGCTTTCAGCGCCTTGTTGAATCAATGCCACGTAGAATTAAGGCAGTTCTGAAGGCGAAAGGGGGTCAAACACAGTATTAGTATGGTGTTCCTAATAATCCTTTAGGTGAGTGTGTGTGTGTATATATATATACAGTGAAGAAAATAAGTATTTGAACACCCTGCTATTTTGCAAGTTCTCCCACTTGGAAATCATGGAGGGTCTGAAATTGTCATCGTAGGTGCATGTCCACTGTGAGAGACATAATCTAAAAAAAAAAAATCCAGAAATCACAATGTATGATTTTTTAACTATTTATTTGTATGATACAGCTGCAAATAAGTATTTGAACACCTGAGAAAATCAATGTTAATATTTGGTACAGTAGCCTTTGTTTGCAATTACAGAGGTCAAACGTTTCCTGTAGTTTTTCACCAGGTTTGCACACACTGCAGGAGGGATTTTGGCCCACTCCTCCACACAGATCTTCTCTAGATCAGTCAGGTTTCTGGGCTGTCGCTGAGAAACATGGAGTTTGAGCTCCCTCCAAAGATTCTCTATTGGGTTTAGGTCTGGAGACTGGCTAGGCCACACCAGAACCTTGATATGCTTCTTACAGAGCCACTCCTTGGTTATCCTGGCTGTGTGCTTCGGGTCATTGTCATGTTGGAAAACCCAGCCTCGACCCATCTTCAATGCTCTAACTGAGGGAAGGAGGTTGTTCCCCAAAATCTCGCAATACATGGCCCCGGTCATCCTCTCCTTAATACAGTGCAGTCGCCCTGTCCCATGTGCAGAAAAACACCCCCAAAGCATGATGCTACCACCCCCATGCACAGTAGGGATGGTGTTCTTGGGATGATACTCATCATTCTTCTTCCTCCAAACACGGCGAGTGGAATTATGACCAAAAAGTTCTATTTTGGTCTCATCTGACCACATGACTTTCTCCCATGACTCCTCTAGATCATCCAAATGGTCATTGGCAAACTTAAGACGGGACTTGACATGTGCTGGTTTAAGCAGGGGAACCTTCCGTGCCATGCATGATTTCAAACCATGACGTCTTAGTGTATTACCAACAGTAACCTTGGAAACGGTGGTCCCAGCTCTTTTCAGGTCATTGACCAGCTCCTCCCGTGTAGTTCTGGGCTGATTTCTCACCTTTCTTAGGATCATTGAGACCCCACGAGGTGAGATCTTGCATGGAGCCCCAGTCCGAGGGAGATTGACAGTCATGTTTTGCTTCTTCCATTTTCTAATGATTGCTCCAACAGTGGACCTTTTTTCACCAAGCTGCTTGGCAATTTCCCCGTAGCCCTTTCCATCCTTGTGGAGGTGTACAATTTTGTCTCTAGTGTCTTTGGACAGCTCTTTGGTCTTGGCCATGTTAGTAGTTGGATTCTTACTGATTGTATGGGGTGGACAGATGTCTTTATGCAGCTAACGACCTCAAACAGGTGCATCTAATTTAGGATAATAAATGGAGTGGAGGTGGACATTTTAAAGGCAGACTAACAGGTCTTTGAGGGTCAGAATTCTAGCTGATAGACAGGTGTTCAAATACTTATTTGCAGCTGTATCATACAAATAAATAGTTAAAAAATCATATATTGTGATTTCTGGATATTTTCTTTTAGATTATGTCTCTCACAGTGGACATGCACCTACGATGACAATTTCAGACCCCTCCATGATTTCTAAGTGGGAGAACTTGCAAAACAGCGGGGTGTTCAAATACTTATTTTCCTCACTGTATGTATATATATATATATATATATATATATATATATATATATATATATATATATATATATATATATATATAGCTGCGAGCAGCGATGAAGGGCCAAAGCTGGCGGCACCGCCACCCTGCCTTTAGTTTTTTTTTTTTTTTTTTTTTTTTTTAGAATTTAGTAGTAGGAAATTACTAGTCACTCATTTTGTTTTATATCCACTATGCATTGTTAATTTTGTGAATTGGAAAGTTTCGTTGAGGATGTGAAGAAATATAGAGCTGAGTATTATCAGCGTAACCGTGAAAGCTAATGCCACGCTTCCCAATGATAACTCCCAAGAGTAGCATGTGCTTCATTTTAATATATCCTGCTCACTTTACGACATTAAATAGTTTAGAAAATGCCGTCTTGCAGTCACCCAGTTGCCCTGCCGCGCGGGCTCTACAGCCGGAACCGAATAATGTACGGGGTTCGCTAATCTAGTCTCATCCAAAGTATTCTTACAGTATCTAAAGCAGTTGCATTCTTACTATCCTCGATTAAAGTTTAGATGAGTCTCTAGTTCGGAAATCTTCTCTGTCAGCCTGTGTTTCCCTGCATTTATGACATGTGAAACCCTCATCGCTGACAGAATGCTAGACATGTCAATGGCGTCGCACAGTAACAACCACTTTTTTTTTTTAAAGGAAAAATTTAAAAAAGCAACATATGATGGCAGAGTTTTCAGCTTATAGATTCCCCTATCCTAGAGAGAGTGAAGTGCTACTAAGTGCTAATTTGGATTTCTGTCTAGATATGTAATAAACATTTTGCAAAAGAAAACCTCAAAAAGGTTAATTATAGATAAAGTAAGACAGAAACTCGCCTGTTCACCAGCCATTTTCCACAGCTGTAGGCAAAGGCAAACGCGTTTCAAATCAGTGCTTCTCCCGGGAGACTAGCGCTAAATTAATCCCCTATCTTAGCGCCATCTATTGTTTTAGAAGAGGAAGTTGCTCAACTGCATTTGTGAGAAAATCTGCCTGGACACATTCGTGAGAAAATCGAGCCGAGAGATCTCATAAAAAGCCAAGTGTCTCACAATCATAACAGACAGATATGCATTTGTATGCACTAGATTTGGTATTTGTTCAAAGGTTACATGCAATTGGCTTTATGCCCAGCTGCACTACTTCCTGAACTTCAGCCAGCTCCTTGTTTCCTGTCTGCCATTATTGGGCAAATTGATTAATTCAGGTGTGCCTGATTATTGTTGCCGTGACTACTGAGGTCAGGCACACCGGAATTAATCAATTTGTCCAATAATGGCAGACAGGAAACAAGGAGCTGGCTGAAGTTCAGGAAGTAGTGCAGCTGGGCATAAAGCCAATTTGTAGGATGGTTTGTATTTATTTGTGAAATATTATCTAGGCTCATTTATTTATATTTGCAAAACACAATGCATACGTGTTACTCCACTGCATTTTCGCTCAAATTGACCTTTGTACTTGCACATTGCTTTCTGTTTGTTTGCGAGTCGAGTTTTCCTTTGCAAAGCAGATCGAGTTTGTTTGCAAAATACTGGATTTGTTTGTTTAATTATGACACAATATTAACTCTATATTTTACATTGTAAACAAGGTATGTTGTTATGGAAAGAAGGATGCGGGAACCGGTGAATGCTTAACATACTTTAATTCCAAAATAAACAAACACAAAAAGAAAGTACCTTTATCCATCACAGATGAATGCCACTCACACATAAACAAAACAAGACCGGTACGGTGCGCAGGTGACCCTCATCATCAATCATGCCACCGGCCTTGTGCTGCTCTCTCACGGCTCTCGGACCTGCCCTGCTTGGAATATATGAGGGTACTCCCGAGACTGCTCTCTCCCACACCCACCCCCCCAGTCACGGCGGCCGTGGCACCTGGGGGTAAGGACAGATGAGCCGAAAGAAAAGGAGACGGAAGCATGAGGAGCGAAAGAGACGAGAGAGGGGAAAAAAATCTTGGTCACGGACACACTGTCGCTCGATTCTCAACCAGCCGAGAGGCTCTCATTCACGGTGCCATGCGATGGTACTGGGTGGACGGTCGACACACCTCCGCCTCTTGGTGGCCTGTGATGGCTAAGCCAGCCCGGCAGCAATCTCCCTGTTCCCTCTGTCTGCCTGCTCCTTCCCATCATGGCGGACGGCAGCAGGCCTGGCGCGCAGGTTGCGCTCATCAATCACTGGCCTCATGCCGTCTCTCATGGCTCCCAGCCCCGCTCTGCTTTCCGCATACATGACGTCTGCCACTTATGGCTCAAAACAATAGCAAAACATACAAAAAAGATGCAAACAGGTGTTTGCTCTTACCTCATCGAATATGTGCAGATTAAAGTGTAAAACACTGTAAAAACTAAATATCTACAGAAAAGAAACAAAAATAAACAAAGTAAAAGTTTAGCAATGTTATGATTTGACACTTAGCAGTTAAATAGGGAAATATTTGTGTACTAGCAAATAACAAATAACACAGGCTTTCTTTTTCTTTAGGTGGTGCAGAATATAGAGCCGGCAGTTCATGTGAGAGGCCAGGAGCCCCTTACTGCCTCAATGCTGGCAGCTGCACCATTAAAAGAGCAGAAACAACTCCTGGGTATTTTACACACACGGTCAATTAAACATTAGGTTTGAAGATGTGAGCACTTTGAATAATTTTATCTCATCAAAGTGATGGTGACTTAAAATAACAATACTCTTCAGTAGAGAGGGTATTACTAGAAATAGTACAGCAGGGGTGTCCAAGGGCCACTGTCCTGCAGAGTTTGTCTAGCCCCAATGAAGCACCTGAACCAAAGTAATCAAGTCCTTCAGGATTACTAGAAACCTACAGGCAGGTATTTTGTGACAAATTGAAGCTAAACTCTACTGTACTACAGAATAAAGTAGTTTATTCAATTTATCAAATCCCTGCAATTTTTATACAATGAAAACGAATACATTCATCCCCTTTAGAGCAATACTGCTGGAAAAAGTTAAGAAAATGACTAGAGTGCCGACACTTTTCAGTGTATGACTATTCAGTTATTGTATGGCTTCAAAAGACTTGGAACAAACCACAAATTCTACGTACTACATCATATTGTAATTAAAATGACTAAATTGTTTGCATCCCATTCAGGTGAGAGGCTGTATCCTCTTATCCAGGCTTTGCATCCTGCACTTGCGGGAAAGATCACAGGCATGCTTCTGGAGATTGACAACTCTGAACTACTGCACATGCTTGAGTCTCCAGAGTCCCTGGACTCTAAGGTTCCACCAGTCAAAACTAATTACTCAAGGCCAGTAAAGATGCAGTCTCAGAGGTCAGTTTTTGTTAGATCATTGTGGCTTTTTTTTGTATTCTTTAGGTTGAGGAGGCAGTAGCAGTACTTCAGGCTCATCAAGCCAAGGAACTGTCAGCCAAGTGATGAAGCTCTGTAAGGCAGGAAATCTGTACAGTCTTCTAGCTTAATATTTGGCCTTACTCATGTGCAATGTCAATTACGAGTGTCACACAAATGTTGACCATTTTTATTTAATTTTTTCAGGCATGCAACTGAAGGTCTGTGAATGTTGTTCCAGAGAATGGGGGAAAGGAAAACCGTTGAAAACAGCACTTCAGATTCATGTTATTTAATCCATGGTTTGCACACTGCAAATGTCCTTTTTCTCTCCACAATGTTAAGTTTGTTCTGATTTTGTTTAAAAAAAAAAGAAAGGAAAATGACAAAGGCTAAAAAATATTTTTTGAAATTTCTGTGTGCAATAAAATGATCCTGGCTTAATAGACATGCAAATGGAGGTCATAAGTGTCTTATTCCTTTTTTTTTTTTTTTTTTTACAATACAATAGAAGAAGAAAGTTAATTGGCAGCATATAATTTGTTTCCCTATGTAATCTACAGTGTACACATTCAAAAATACAGAAATGTATATCTTTGTATAAAAATATAAAGTCATGCCTTAAATGAATTCTAGTAGTAGGTAGGCTACATCTAAATTTCAAATACATAGAAAAATGATATCTATTTCAGTTAAAAAAAATATATAATATTGTATTACGTTCAATGAAATGCAATAATTTATCTGAATAGGGTTATCACAGATATTAGAATACTCACTCCTCTACTCCAAAAAACTTATAAAAGGAGACCACACATCCAAATACTCTAGTGCTCATTTTGCAGTGTTTTACTAGTAAATTTAACCAATGATTAGTTTTTCTCAATCGATTTGACACATTTCTCCAAAGAATGTAGTTGCTCTTAAAACAATTAACACCGCACACTCAACACACTCTTAAGATGACAAAACAGTTCAGTATTCACTGCATAATAAAGCACTGCACTTTATTCTAGTAATGCATTTAACAAAAATAAATACTAACATCAAACACTTCTCCCTCTACTCCTCTTTCTACATCCTCAGCTCTTCTTGCTTCTACCAAATCCTCAACTCATCTTACTCCATCGCCTCTTCCTTTACCATCTAGTCCTTTCCCCTCATCTCTCTCTACCTATTCCACTGTTCATCTCCCTCTCAATATTACCCTTCCTCTATCCTCTCCAAAACCTCTCTCTCATCAAGCGCAGCTTTAGTTCAGTCAGGCCACGTAGGCATAGTGCTGTGGTCAGCTGTCAAATCACTCCAACTACCAGGCATTCTCCTATTAGACTGGTATGGAGTTATTATCCTGTCAAATGTCGAGGGCGCATTATTGTAGCGCGAAAGTACATTAATATAATGCGCGACAGGATAATAACGAATCTCTCTGCTCGCGCGCGGAATATGATGTGCCGAGCGCGAATCTCTCTGCTCGCGCGCGGAATATGATGTGCCGAGCGCGAATCTCTCTGCTCGCGCGCGGAATATGATGTGCCGAGCGCGAATCTCTCTGCTCGCACGCGGAATATGTGCTGAGCGCGAATCTCTCTGCTCGCGCGCGGAATATGATGTGCCGAGCGCGAATCTCTCTGCGCACGCGCGGAATATAATGTGCCGAGCGCGAATCTCGCGCTCTCAGATACACTTCTCTTGTAAGAATTCTCTCTCTGGACTGAGTGGGCTCGCTCAGAGAATATGCCTGCACTTAAGACGTGTTCAGTGCAATCGCGAATCTCTCCTCTTCCCCAGCTAACAATTTTAGGTTATAAGAACGTTTTCATAATGTTCCCATTAAGTTATAAAAACGTTATTTCTGAATGTTCTAGGGAATTTCAAAACGTCCAATTTTTTAGACGTTGTATTAATGTTATTTCTTGGTTTATTAGAACGTCCAATTCTTCCGTTATATAAACGTTGGTTGTATTAACGTTATTTCCTGGTTATAATAACGTTACAACGTTCAATTCTCCCTTTATATAAACGTTGTATTAATGTTCTTGCTTGGTTATAAGAACATTATTCAAACGTTCAATTCTCCCATTATATAAACGTTCTCTTAATGTTTTTCTAAGATAATGAAAAATGTTTCATTCAATAAAAAAAACATTAAGAAAGGTTTTAATAATTATTAAAACCTTTCTTAATGTTTTTTATATAACAAGGTAGCCTATATAATAGGCCTATATGAAGAACCTAAAACAAGAACTTTCAGATTTTAAAATTAAGACAAAAAATAAATAAAAATGAATCATGTCTATAATATATGTGTAATGTAGTCCACTGAAGTCGAGTTGAATTGAACCCAAGTATAGTTTATTCCAATAAACCGATTTGGGTTGAAGTGACAATATGAAATTGACATGAACATAAACTTGGACTAAACATAGAATCACCAACAATGGTACAGGGAACAAAGCTAGACAAGAGACAATGGGAACACAAGGACAAGGATTATGACCAAAAACAACCAATGACATTCACAAGTTAAAGTTTATTTAATTTATATAGCTCATTTTTACAACAGCCACTGGCTGGCCAAAGTGCTTTACAGAACAGCAGAAAAAAGGGGGGAAAAAAAACCTACATAACATATGGAATAGCATTTTCTGATTGGTTGTTGCCGTTTTAACAGCGTTTATGCCAAGAGCAAAGAGAAAGAAATCGAAGAGAAGAGTAATTAGGCATGCGCGAACGCACGGGACACAGTCTAAGCACATACACGCTTACTTTAAGCGAAGAGGAGAGATTCGCGATTGCACTGAACACTGTTTAAGTGCAGGCATATTCTCTGAGCGAGCCCAGAGAAAATTCTTACAAGAGCAGCGTGTATCTGAGAGCACGCGCCCAGTTCCCGCGCGCGAGCAGAGAGATTCGTGCTCGGCACATCATATTCCGCGCGCGAGCATTGAGATTCACGCTCGCGCATTATATTAATGTACTTTCGCGCTACAATAATGCGCTCTCGACATTTGACAGGGGAATAACGCCATAGACTGGGGGGATATATGTGGCATTACTGCTCGGAAAGTATGCTCATTCTGCTCGCAAGCATTGTGATGGTTAACCTTAGCATGAAAATTACGTTTACGTTATTTCTATCACATGCTGTTTCCTGATGATGGACACTTCGAATATCCAGCTAGTGAGACGCTGCTCTAGGATAGCAGCAAGGAATCCTTTCTCCATTATTGAATTGCCCAAAGAAAGGATCTTGTCCACCTTGTACTCCCTCAATGTACAAGCTCCTCCGAATCCGAAACTCTTTACAAAAAAGTAAGACCCGCAGCCCCTTTCTTCTAACAAAGTACCTTCTCATCTCCGAGCTACCGGCCATAAAGTCATGGAAAAAAAGAAGGAATACTTCCACCGATCATGCGTCTCCAACTCCAAAAAAGGCTAAATTATCTCATCCCTCTCGAGCGCCAGCACAACAGGGAGATGACAGGATTCTCTCAGTGCAGCTGTCAATCCAAGGAACCCTCTCCAACATGGACAACAGGATCCAAGCGTTGGAATCACAACGCTTATCTTCCGCAAATCGGGTGATGTTTGACGGGCAGACTTACAGCTCGACTTCAGACTGCGCCCTTACTCCCGACTTGGCTGCTAATCTTCCTAGAAGAACTTTCGGATCCGTGTTAGCTGCCACTTCCACCGGGTGCATTACTTCAGGTTGAATGAATCTGATTGGCTAAGAAATAGATAAATACAGTAAATTTCCACACATGGACTGAAAGGCAGTAGCACATCTCCATAGTCTGTACGGCTGCCACCAGGACCGGTACAAAAAGTTAGAAAAAGTCCACTTACTGCACATGCTTCAGCCACTTTCTTGGGAACAGATAAAAGTGTTGGTGTATTATTTAAAACTGCACAAAAGAGGAAAACACAATTTCATTACAATGAAGTACACTGGAGAAAAATGTGATCTAAATATTTTTACATTACCTACATGCAGTGTTCACTTTCAGTCAAAGCAATTCATCACAACTCAAGATTTAACAGTTGATATGACTGGACCAGCCATTTGGATAATAGGCCTACAGTGTATTATTTTACAGTGTACTAAGATAATTAAAAGCTCATTTACCAGTAATGAAGGTGTTGCTGCTACTGGTCCCTGGCCGTGGGTCTAAAGAAAAGCTGCCCCTAGAGATGCCCTCCACAATAGGTCAATTCACATTCAACCCAAGCCCTTCTGCCGGGGTGTAACGTGGGGGTGCAGGACCACCACCTGTTTTTTTATCTATTTTTTATAGCCTTTTTCTTGGTTGCTATAAACAGACCAACAAGTCCTCCAACCCATACGACCATTTAGGTCGTTTGTGACTACCTTCAAATACGACACATAAGAGCGTTTCCTAAATTTGCGCCCCTACCGGCAGCTGGAGATATGGAGAAATGCATTATAAACTTTGACTTTTGCCTCAATGCATTATGGTTTTTTTTTACCTGCTAACGTTACCAGTTTACGTCAAACTCTCCCAGCTATTCAAAGTAGTTTATTGCTATAAAAATATATCTTTTTGATGACTTCATCACACGTACAGGTAGGGTTTCCATCCGTCTATAGTCCTGTGTTTATGAATGAAATGATGTCGTGTTTTAAATCGGCATTTATATTTCAAGCTGTGTGACGTTCATTCAAACGGACGCCAGCATTATAAAGTTAGTTTTCATTATGACATTCAAACATTGAAATTTGCCTGTTTGGGAAAGGTATCATGCAAAAAGTCCACACATTTACTATGTTTTACCAGTAACTGTCGATCCGCTATGTCATGTGTAGTAAAAGCACAGTAACGTTATACCATGCTTCTTCCACCGTAACTGTAACCACGGTAACCACAACACTTACAATGCTTTTACCACAGTAACTGTGTTTGTATTGTGTACTATTGTAGTTAAAGCACAGTAACACAAGACTTAACATGTTTGTTTGTTTTTTACCAGTTACTGTAGTTGTAATGTGGTATTTGTAATTAAAACACAGTAATTTACCATGATTTTACCACAGTCTGTGTTTTTACTGTCTACTATTTGTAGGTAAAGCACAGTAACCACAGCACTTGCCATGGTTTTACCACAGTAACCATAGTTTTACCGTTGTGTTTATAGTTGAAACAGTAACACAACACTTGCCATGCTTTTACCACAGTAACCATAGTTTTACTGTGGTGTTTGAAACAGTAACACAACACTTGCCATGGTTTTACCACAGTAACCATAGTTTTACTGTGGTGTTTATAGTTGAAACAGTAACACAACACTTGCCATGGTTTTACCACAGTAACCATAGTTTTACTGTGGTGTTTGAAACAGTAACACAACACTTGCCATG